ATACCTCCTAGAATCTTGAGCTGAGCTCCGCACATAATTCCTGGTCACTCCCTTTGAGCTCAGCTCCTGTTTTCCTCAGCATGATTACCTGATCCTTGACTGTTGTTTTCCTCCTTATGTAGCTGTATAACAACTTTGGGTCAGATTTGGCTTTTGATGCAATGTCATTCTTGTATTACCACTGGGCTTCTCTCCTTTTCCATGTATATTCATTTCTGGCTCTTTGGCTCAACTCCGTTTTCCCAAGTCCTTTGCCTTCTTTACTTTTTCTATGCTCTGATACACTTGGCTTTGGTCTCTCCACACTTCTGGGTAAACCATGGGCTCACTCTGCTCTTTCCATTGTTTCTGTTGCCTCTTGGCATGAACTTCTCCTCTGCCTCTCTGCATTTCATGGTCATGTGTTCCATCGTTTTGTTTATTGTCTTTCCCTCTAACTCTCTTACCCACTGCACCTCATGCAGGAATTGCCTCATAAGTGTAGTCCCCTTTTTTGAAGTTTGGTTTCACCCATCCTTCTCATAATTCTTCACTTTATATTGTTAACTCTACTTTGTATTCAAAACTCATGACTATGTGATCGCTAGTTCCAAGGGGCATTTCGTGTGTGATTTTCCATGTGTCTGAACTGTTCAAAGTGAATACAAGGTCCAGTCATGCTGGTTCATCGTCTCCTCTCTCTCTCTGGTTGTGTCCCTAACATGTTGGTACATGAAGCTTTCCAGCATCGCCTTCAGCACCATGTCTCCGGTCACCCATGTGGCTCCAGATTTTCCTAGTCTGTCTCTTTGTGGTTGAAATTCCCCATGAGCAACTTTGCTCTGCTCATGTGGGTCCTTCTGGGGCCACCATCATTTTGTTGCTCTCATGGTATTCTTGTCTTGGTCTTCTTCTGTTCGGTGGCAGGTTGTACATCACTACTATCATCACTTTTGGACCCCCTGGTTAGAAGTGTTCCTACTATGTAGTCATCCACTTCACCTCTGACTAGTGCCCCTATCTCCTCAAAACTCCAATGGTTTTTGATGAGTAGTGTAACTCCTCCTCCCCCCTCTGTTTCCCCTTGTCTTTCCTCAGGATCTGGTATCTAGATGGGAAGATCACATCTGTTATCACCCCCATGAGCTTTGTCTTTGTGTGTGCTGTGATGTCTGAGGATGCCTCAGTGATTATTTCCTGTGACTCGTCACTTTAATTTGTTATTCCATCTGTGTTGGTATAGCATACCTTCAGCTTCCTTTCCAGAGCTATATTCAGAGTGGTGGAAGGGGTAGGTGTAGGCTGAGGGTGTGGTAGGCAGGGCTGGATATTATGGTAGGCTGGTGTTGTAGTATTAGTGCTGGGGGGGGGGATTCTGGGTGTGGAGTGTGTTTTTTTTTTTTATTGTTTGGTTGGTGTGGGTTGCGAGGATGCTATGGGTGGTTCTGTGGCCAGTTGTGTTTGTTGTTCCCCCGAGGTTGCACTTCTCTGTTTGTCGGTATCTGCTTTGTCTTCCCTTCTTGCCTTTGGCACCATCTTACTCTCTCAGTTGTTCCCGTTCTTTTTTGTATTCTTTTATGGTTGAGATACACTCACTGGTATTTTGTGTGTTTGTGTACATACACACGCACTCACCTATATGTACTTCTTGGCCAATGCATGAAATCACTGCCTCTGTTTCTTCATCAGTATTTAACAGCTTTTCAAAATATTCCAATCATCTTCTCAATACCTTCAGCTCCCCCATTTAACCCCTTCAGGGTCCAAGGTCCAAATCTGAAGTGGTGCCCCAGTGTCCAAGAATTTAAAAAAAAAAATTTGTTATTTTTTCTTATGAAATGGTAGAGAATCTTTTTGTGAAGGTAATAAAACAAAAAGTATGAAATTTGATGGAAAATTGACAAAATTATGCTCTCTCGAATTTTGATGTGTCAGCGATATTTATGAATCGGCGATTTTGCCGACTTTGACTCCCATTTTAGGCCAATTACATTATTCCAGTCAACCAAATTCTTAGCTATTTCACTAGTATTACTTCTATTCTATCGATTGAGCACAAGAAATCGCCAAGTCAACTGTTTCAACTACAAATTAAAGTGATCGGAAATGGTTAATTTGGCCAATTTAACACAAAGTTCAAAATATTCCAATTTCAAAATAGGGTCCAGAATAAACAATGTAGGTATTCCTGGAACTAAACTAACATTTCCTCTGTTCATTAGTTATGTTTTGAGGCTTTACAAATAAATTCCATTTTGATTTTTTATTCACATAATGAATTTTTATTCACACCAAAAAATAGAAGATTTACTGTTATGCAATACTGTAATAATTGTATAAATATCATCACCATATCAGTGAATGCATATTAGACCCACCAGCTGGTGTGTATTAGACGAGTGAGGTCGTTTGTTTACTCTTGAATATCGGCAAAAATTTAACATTTCTGCTACTTTGAGCTCAGTTTCAAGCCATTTCCAGTGCTAAAACCAATCAAAATCATCTCTATTTCTGTAATATGTCTTCCATTCTATCAAATGAGACCAAGAAATCGCAAATAGAACTATAAAAAACATACGAAAAAACACTGCAAAGTTGCTGTTTTAATCGAAAAATCGTGATTTCAGTTTTTTCTCTCATTATACACAGCGTGCTGCAGGATCTGTTTTATGTGGTGCACACATACCACATAGATGTATTCTCTCATATCTAGGCCCAAATGTACCACTCACAGTTTATCAGAGTGAGCTGAGCTCATGACGTAGATCTACGGTTTGGACCCTGAACGTAAAGCCGTAGATCAACGGGAAGGACCTTCAAAGGGTTAATAACTCCCCTCTTCTGTTTTTAATTGTCAAATCCATTTCTTATCTAGGCTTTCTCAACCTATTAACCCTTTGAGGGTTTTCGTCGTACTAGTACGTCTTACGCGTAGGGGTTTTTGACGTACTAGTACTCATAAATTCTAGCGACCTCAAATCTAGTGGGAGAAAACTGTTAGGCCTTCATATGAAAGAATGGGTCTATGTGGTCAGTGTGCACAGTCTAAAAAAAATCCTGCAGCACACAGTGCATAATGAGAAAAAAAAAACTTTTTCCATTTTTTTTTAATAAATCAGCGACTTTGCAGTGTATTTTCGTATGGTATTTATTGTTGTATTCTAGTTTTCTTGGTCTCATTTTATAGAATGGAAGACATATTACTGAAATTGAGATGATTTTGACTGGTTTTACAATGAAAGGTGCCTTGAATTGAGCTCAAAGTAGCAGAAATGTTCGATTTTTACCAAACTTCAAAAGTAAACAAATCGTGCCAAGCGTGCAATACACGTCAACTGGTGAGTCTAATATTCTTTCACAAGTGCACCAAAAATATTTATACCTTTTTTTACACTAATGCAGTAGTCTGCATAACAGTAAATCTTATATTTTTTGTGAGAATAAAAATTCAAAGTGGAAAGCAAAAGAATATAAGAGGGCCTTGAGACGTGACTAATGACTAGAGGAAATGTCATTTTAGTGCCAGGAATGTCTTTCTTGTTTTTTCTGGACCCTATTCCGAAATTGGCATCTTTTGAAATTTGTGTGAAATTGGCAAAATTGCTAAATTCTGACCACTGTACTGGATAGTTGAATTTATAAATGGGTGGTTTCTTGCACCCATTCGATAGAAAAAAATGGAGTTCTAGCGAAATATTCATGTTTTTTGTCGACTAGTACAGTGAAATTGGCCGAAAATGGGGCTCAAAGTGGGCAAAATCGCCGATCCGTAAACATCGCCGAGACCGCTAACTTTGCGAGAGCATAATTCCGTAAGTTTTCTATCAAATTTCAAACTTTTGGTGTCGTTATGATCGGGAAAAGATTCTCTATCTTTTCATAAGAGAAAATAATTTTTTTTTTTTTTTAAATTTGGCCGACCCTGAGAACGAGTTTCGGAGAGGGCCTGTCGACCCTCAAAGGGTTAATCTCACTCTAAAACTCTTTCTTAGTTTCAGCAAAATTTGTTGATAGACCCTCACCTGCTCTCATTTCCAATCCTTATAGACTCCCTCTTCATTCTCTGAACCTCTCTTTTACTCACCTAAGCAGATATTGGTAAAAAGAAAATGTTCAAAGAATATTGGCCACAATATGTGTGAATACTTAGTATTTTTGAAAATCAGATGCACGCTTTTTCCTGAAAGTGCTAGGTAATTGGTGTTGCCCACAGCAACGAGAAAAGTTATATTAGGAAGTCACCAGGAAATGCTGGCTTGAGAACAGTCTGCAGATGTGCTGATGAAATTTAGTTGAGCAATAAACCATTCTTCCTCATGACTCATCCTCCCTCATGACATTCTCACCATATAAGATGTCTGTTACCCTAGCATATAACTCTCATTTGTCTCTTTTTCCCTTTCTCCTCCCCCCTCAGTATTTGCTCTGTTGCCTCTCACACCCTGTTGACCTTATCCTCTTCAATGTACAAATATAATTAACCTTATCTTAGTACCATCTACTACAGCATTACTTTCAGTTAATATTCCTTCTACATTGTATTGCACTTCCATGACCTTTTACCTTACATCTCACTGTCACTCACCAATCCCTTCGTGACATGTCTCACACTTTTACTCATATCAGTTCTTTTACCAAATATCTCACTTTTACTAATTAGTCCCTTTACTGCACTTTTGCTCATATCAGTCCTTTTACCACATATCTCACACTTTCACTGATCAGTCCCTTTACCTAAGTTCCACACACATCAACTCATTTACCACACAGCTCCCAGTTTTGCTCATATCAGTTCATTTACCACACATCTTACATTTTCATTTATATCATTCCCTTTGCCACATATATTACATTTTCTCTCATATTGGTCCCTCTACCACACATTTTACTTCTTCACTCATATCAGTCTCTTAACCATAGTGTCACGTTCACCTGTATCTTTCTCTTCTCTGAATATATACTTATTAATAAAGAATTTTTAAAGGAGATAGCTTGTGCACCATTTAATGATGTGTTGACAGGGTGGACGGTGCGCCCATGGGCTGTGCCGTGCCTGTTGCAGAGTCAAGTGCTACACCGAGGGCCTTGACTGCCTTGGCCACCGCATTCTAGTCAAGACCAAGAGAGAGAAGGCAGCTGTATACTATGGAGAGCAGGAGAAATTGAAACAAGTGGAGCAACATGGTAAAGAGAGGAAAGAGATATCAATATGGCAGTCAGGAGACAAGCTGCAGTCTCAACCAGATGTATCCAAGGCAACTCTGACTGAAGATCACAATCAGCAACAAGTGTGTGTTACCTCACACCTGCCAGGACAGTCGTTGCAACAGTCTTCAAAAGTAAATAGAGAGGAAGGTGCAATAGTAAAGTTCAATGAATTAAATGACATAGAAAAAAACAACAGTGAGGATAAAAGTAATAGATGCATCTCACCGTGCAGCAAGATGACCAAAGGTAGTCAGGAAAACTTGTATAGTACTAATCTTACTCACAATACAAGTGAAGGAAGCTGTAAATGCAAAACAAACTCTACTACTTGACAGTATTTTTTCCAAATTACAGTACTTTTTTGCATGTCTATATTTTTGAAGAAATAAACAATTTCATACCAGTTATGCTCATATTTAATCTCCTGAAACTATATCTTTACACTATAATGTATTTACTAATGTGGGGTCATGGGAGGACACTTGGGGTACAGTAATGTCTCAATATATGCAATGTCCCATTTCTACCAGCAGTTTCCTTTGTGTGATATAAATTTACTTTTATACAGCCATTGCAGATTGCATAGCATAATGAAGAGTCCTGTAATCAAGAATTAAGTGTTAACCTGAACAAGATTACTACTGCTAACATTGATGACCCCACACAGGTTTAGTGCTCTGCAGCCTTCTGAGGAGGGCTGCGAATGGGGTTGCTGATATGGTTTGAACATGTAGAAAGGACAGACAGTTATAAGTTGATGAAGAGGTTGTACTCTATAAATCTGGGGGTGGAAGGTAGGAAGGGTTAAGGTCATTCCAGGAATAGTTGGAGGGAAGAGGTAAATGAGCCTTCGAGTTACATGGGTATGAGCATCCAGGAGGCTTCTGTGAGCATGTTAGGAGTTAATATGACAAGTAGTTTTTAACCCCTTCATTGTCAGAAGCCCCAAAATTAGAGCCTTTAATCTTCACTCCCTGGCGAGATGTAAAATGAGGGAAGATATCATTGAAGTGTATAAGTGGATGATGGGTATAAACAAAGGTGATATTAATAAAGTACTGAGGGTGTCGAACCAGGTAAGAGCCAGAAATAATTGATATAAGCTGGATAAATTTAGATTTAGAAAGGACATAGGTAAGTATACTGGTTTTCGAACAGAGTTGTGGATGCGTGCAACAATCTCCTGAGTAGGGTGATCGAGGCTAGGACCTTGGGTAGCTTTAAAAAGAGATTGAACAAATATATGAGTGGGAAGGGCTGGGTTTGATTGGTGTCATTGGGTACAGGAGGATATTCTTGGGAAGCTTTGGGTAGGGGTTGTTTTGATAAGGACCTGCCTTGTATGGGCCAGTAGGCCTTCTGCAGTGTTCCTCCATTCTTATGTTATGACTGGTTGCATTTTTTTTAAATTCTTATTGAAAAACAGCACATTTTGTAGTCATAAAACAACAAAAAAGTTCTCCCCATCAGTACTTACTGAGATATAAAGGCATGAAGTTGGAAGATTGATAACCGCTGACAGCAACATCATTAATTACTGTATGTTGCTCATTACTTTTCTTTTTCCACTTTTTCTGAGGGGTTTTCTAATTTTTTACATTTTTCAATAACTCTTTTTGGCCTGAGAGATCCATATGCACAGTGTACATTTGGTCACCCATTGTATACAACTCATTACCCATACTAATAATGCCATTAGTACACTGTTTACAAAACCTTAATACACAGTGTTCAAGTGTTTCACATTACAGTAATCCTTTGAGTTATGATGGGCTTGACTTACAATAATTTTGAGTTACAATTTACCCCCAAAGAAATTTTGTTTTGAGTTGCAATGAAAAATTTGAGATATGATATGTGAAAGATGGTCAATGTGCATCAGTGACCCCTCAGCCCAGAGACAAGACAGGATGATGAAAAAGTCTTAGGTAGATGGAAGAAGGAGGGTGTGTTGGAGATGAGTGGGAGTGAAGGTGGGTGAAAGAGAAGAAGGCAGGCATAGGAGGGAGGATGAAAGAGAGGAAGGCAGTCACAGGAAGGAGGGTGAAAGAGAGGAAAGCAGGCACAGAAGGGCGGTAGATGTCTCGTGTACAAACAGTGGATGGTGAGAGACGTGCAACAAGAGTGAAATTTTTTTTTTATTTTATTAACACATCAGCTGTTTCCCACCAAGACAGGGTAACCCGAAAAAGAAGAAACACTTTCATCATCATTTACTTCATCACTGTCTTGCTAGAGGTGTGCCTGCACTACAGTTAAAAAACTACAGCATATCAACACCCCTCCTTCAGAGTGTAGGCACTGTACTTCCCATCTCCAGGACTCACATCTGGCTAACCGATTTCTTTGAATCATAAATGTTACTTTGCTCACACTCCAACAGCACGTCAAGTCATAAAAACCATTCGTCTCCATTCACTTCTATCTAACACGTTCACGCACCCTCGCATAAAAAACCCACTTTTCCCTTCCCTCCCTCCAACCTTTCCTAGGATGACCCCTACCCCATCTTCCTTCCACTACAGATTTATACAACTTCCAAGATGTTCTATTTTATTCCATCCTCTCTAAATGTCTGAAACACCTCAGCAACCTCCCCTCAGCCCTCTGGATAATGCCTTCAGAAACCCTGACCTCATGCTTAAGAATGTGCACCTAAAAATATAAGAAGAGATAGTTTTAGCTTGATGCAGGGCTGTTTTTCCTCTGATTTCTTTAACATCTGAAGCCCTTTTTCAGCACACTTATGCTATTAAAACTCTTTTAGTCTTCCATGAAAGCTATATATGCAAGATTTTTTCCACATTTGTGGGAAATAATTGTTTCAACAGTGTCATCATGTCTAATTTCCATTTTTAGAGAAAAAGATTTTTCTTCTAAAAAAGCACTGGACTATAGTTCAGCATTGTTAGCCTTGTTTGGGTAGATTTTCAGAATTTCTTAAAATCATACCAGGGGTACTATTATTTATGGTGATAAATATGATAAATATAGGTAGTAGGTTGGTAGACAGCAACCACCCAGGGAGGTACTACCGTCCTGCCAAGTGAGTTTAAAACGAAAGCCTGTAATTGTTTTACATGATGGTAGGATTGCTGGTGTCTTTTGTCTGTCTCATAAATATGCAAGATTACAGGTACGTCTTGCTACTTCTACTTACACTTAGGTCACACTACACATACATGTACACGTTTATTTATACACACTCATCTGAGTTTTCTTTGATTTTATCTTAATAGTTCTTGGTCTTATTACTTTTCCTTTTATATCCATGGGGAAGTGGAATAAGAATCTTTCCTCCGTAAGCCATGCGTGTTGTAAAAGTCAACTAAAATGCCGGGAACAATGGGCTAGTAACCCCTTTTCCTGTAAAGATTACTAAAAAGAATAAGAAGAAGAAAATTGTCAAAGTGGGAAGTCTGAATGTGCGTGGATGTTGTGCAAATGATAAGAAAGAGATGATGTGGATGTTATGAATGAGAAGAAACTGGATGTCCTGGCTTTAAGTGAAACAAAGCTGAAGGGGGTGGGAGAGTTTCAATGGAGAGGAATAAATGGGATTAGGTCAGGGGTTTCAAATAGAGTTAGAGCTAAAGAAGGAGTAGCAATAATGTTGAAGGATAAGCTATGGCAGGAAAAGAGGGACTACAAATGTATAAATTCAAGGATTATGTGGAGTAAAATAAAGATTGGATGTGAAAAGTGGGTTATAGTAAGCGTGTATGCACCTGGAGAAGAGAGAAGTGTAGAGGAGAGAGAGAGATTCTGGGAAATGTTGAGTGAATGCGTGGGGAGTTTTGAATCAAGTGTGAGAGTAATGGTGGTTGGGGATTTCAATGCTAAAGTGGGTAAAAATGTTATGGAGGGAGTAGTAGGTAATTTTGGGGTGCCAGGGTAAATGTAAATGGGAGCCTTTATTTGAGCTATGTGTAGAAAGAAATTTGGTAATAAGTAATACATATTTTTTGAAAAAGAGGATAAATAAATATACAAGGTATGATGTAGCACGTAATGAAAGTAGTTTGTTAGATTATGTATTGGTGGATAAAAGGTTGATGGGTAGGCTCCAGGATGTACATGTTTATAGAGGGGCAACTGATATATCGGATCATTATTTAGTTGTAGCTACAGTTAGAGTAAGAGGTAGATGGGAAAAGAGGAAGGTGGCAACAACAAGTAAGAGGGAGGTGAAAGTGTATAAACTAAGGGAGGAGGAAGTTCGGGCGAGATATAAGCGACTATTGGCAGAAAGGTGGGCTAGTGCAAAGATGAGTAGTGGGGGGGTTGAAGAGGGTTGGAATAGTTTTAAAAATGCAGTATTAGAATGTGGGGCAGAAGTTTGTGGTTATAGGAGGGTGGGGGCAGGAGGAAAGAGGAGTGATTGGTGGAATGATGAAGTAAAGGGTGTGATAAAAGAGAAAAAGGTAGCTTACGAGAGGGTTTTACAAAGCAGAAGTGTTATAAGAAGAGCAGAGTATATGGAGAGTAAAAGAAAGGTGAAGAGAGAGTGGTGAGAGAGTGCAAAAGGAGAGCAGATGAAAGAGTGGGAGAGGCACTGTCAAGAAATTTTAATGAAAATAAGAAAAAAAATTTTGGAGTGAGTTAAACAAGTTAAGAAAGCCTAGGGAAAGTATGGATTTGTCAGTTAAAAACAGAGTAGGGGAGTTAGTAGATGGGGAGAGGGAGGTATTAGGTAGATGGCGAGAATATTTTGAGGAACTTTTAAATGTTAATGAAGAAAGGGAGGCGGTAATTTCATGCACTGGCCAGGGAGGTATACCATCTTTTAGGAGTGAAGAAGAACAGGATGTGAGTGTGGTGGAGGTGCGTGAGGCATTACGTAGAATGAAAGGGGGTAAAGCAGCTGGAACTGATGGGATCATGACAGAAATGTTAAAAGCAGGGGGGATATAGTGTTGGAGTGGTTGGTACTTTTGTTTAATAAATGTATGAAAGAGGGGAAGGTACCTAGGGATTGGCGGAGAGCATGTATAGTCCCTTTATATAAAGGGAAAGGGGACAAAAGAGATTGTAAAAATTATAGAGGAATAAGTTTACTGAGTATACCAGGAAAAGTATACGGTAGGGTTATAATTGAAAGAATTAGAGGTAAGACAGAATGTAGAATTGCGGACGAGCAAGGAGGTTTCAGAGTGGGTAGGGGATGTGTAGATCAAGTGTTTACATTGAAGCATATATGTGAACAGTATTTAGATAAAGGTAGGGAAGTTTTTATTGCATTTATGGATTTAGAAAAGGCATATGATAGAGTGGATAGAGGAGCAATGTGGCAGATGTTGCAAGTATATGGAATAGGTGGTAAGTTACTAAATGCTGTAAAGAGCTTTTATGAAGATAGTGAGGCTCAGGTTAGGGTGTGTAGAAGAGAGGGAGAATACTTCCCGGTAAAAGTAGGTCT